GGGGGGGGGGGGGGGGAGGCCGGCACGGAAGAGACGAGAAAGGGGGCAAGACAGAAGACAGGAGGGTAGACGCAGAGACAGAGGATTGGGATGAGCGAGGGAGAGAGAGGACGACGGAGGAGGAGGACGGCCAGGAGCAGGGGAAAACAATTTTGAAGAGATGTGAGAGAGAGAAACAGAACACAAACAGATGCACAGTTAGATTCTACAGAAACTGATGGATGCATTAATGGATGGCTGGGTGCATAGATAGGGCACACAGTGGGAAAGAAGGACGCCCCGCTACTTCCTGTGTTCTGTCAAAGGAAAACAGTGCAGCAACCCAGTCAAATCACGGTCCTTCACCACGGTCATCACGAGAACCGGTCGAGCACAGCAATCAAGCAGGGTGGCATCAAGTCCTGACGTACTCAATGCCACATAGTCCCGCAGCGCTCGCTGCAAAGGTCATAGAGGTCAAACATCCGACTCCACTCCACAAATGCTGGATGGTGAATTCTGGACTGCCACATACAAAACATGACAGGCAAGCAGACTACATAGACCATCACATTCTGGCTGGTATACACTAAACAGGTGTTATGAACATGATTGTCTGTTGAAATTTTATCAACACTCACTCACAGGAACTCCCGTACACGCCCATACATGCACGGAAGGAAGGGGAGAGGTAGTGGAGGGTCACACCGCTCAGAAAAGAAACGTGGCGGAAGACTCAGAGAAGCGAAGTGACAGAATACACAGTTCAGTGAATTCTCTCCACAGGATTCCCAACAATCATTCATAGAAGACAACCGAGTGATCACAACCAGAAATCAATGAAGAGATGACAACTCAAACACAGTATTACAACTGTTTATCAAACTCAGAGCATCGTTTTCACTGTATAACCTCAGAACCCTGTTGCGCTACCCTCAGAGGGGTAGCGCCTCAACCCCACCACCCGGAACAGCTAAAAATAGCACTGAAACCCCAGGTAACACCCAACGCCACCCTGACATCCGACTCAGTGGCCTGCGCCAAAGTGAAACAGGCTCCCGGAGCCAATCGCCACCCAGATGATGAAGGAGAAGCTCAGCGCCAACAGTCCCTGATGAAGATGAAGTCCAGACGATGATATCCTCTGAGAAGACGCAGCTATGGCTGCATCGCCACTGGGACCCTACTCCTGAGGAGGGTCAGCAGTGCACCACGTGCTCCAACGCATCAGACCTCTCATAGCCCATACCGCTTTGACTCCCAGAGAGTCAGAGCGCGCAGCGTTGACCCCAGTCTGGTCAGTGCTCCGAAGGTCTGGCTATGTCCGCCGTCTCCACCACCGGAATCAGCAACCACGACCTGATACCGTGTGCGCAGCAACTTCCACCACGAAGTGTCAACTGCCAAAAGCCCAGGACCGATGTCCCCATCCTATCTATACTCTACTACTAGCCTAGACCGACCTAGACCGGACTGACTGACCGACCGGTACCGTTCTGTTTCGGTCTCTCCCTACCCGGCTATAGGCTATAGGTCCGTCTATCAGCGTAGGCCCATAGGGCCTGTCTGTCCTAGGGGTAGCCCGGGTCTGCTATTCGCCGTTAGGGTAGCTGTAGGAAATTCGAGTTAGTACTGGGCCTATGGTACAGCCTCGTCTGAGAGAGGCTACAGGCAACCTGGAACCGGCAAGTCATTGCACAGGCACAACAAACATTCACAAGACCAGTCAATTACCAAAGTAACTTGTGCCTGCTGGAGGGATCTACAAGTCAAACTGAGACAAAAGCCAGCCATAGAGATTTGGCAGCAGTGTATGAAGGAAGGACTCTTGCTCAACTGATCCAGGTAACAACAGGGCCAAGGTGTAATTGCTTTCATGACCCTGTGGACCCGACATCCGGCCGGAGTTATTGTTAGTCATAGGTTTGATGGCATGTATTTCCTTTCCTTCGACTTTTAGAGAGCAGGGAAATGCCACCCAACCACAACTAGTATCGGTTTTAGGTTTACAATGGCTTGTAGCCTTATAGGCCCTTCCGCCTTAGAGAGAAGTAAACAGTAAAGCTTCTCTTCTTTTGACTGAACTGTTAACAATCAGCTAAGTATTGACACTCAAAGTAATGGATCGTGGTCTCGATTGTTCTTGTTTCCCCAAGGAGTCCCTCATTGACATGGTAGGTGACTTTGTTCAGAAAAACACGATAAAACAGAAAGCTAAACAAACATACGCTGGTCGTCGGGCCACCCGGGACCCTGGACCTCGCCCGGGATGGCGCTGGTGAAGATTCAACTTCATGAGACGATGAATCAGCACAGGTGGAAGGAGCTGCAGACTCCACCTCTCTCCTCTCTAGTTTGATCATGCAGGCCTGCGAGGCATATAGGGACAATCCTTGAGGAAGTGGTACCCCTCGCATCTCAGGCAAACTCCCTTGTCCTTCCTCTTCCTCCAAACTCCCTCCTGGATCCTGAGTGCATGCCAGGGGAAGGTGGAAGGATCAAGGGGGTCAATTGGCCAGCTGACGTCACGTGGTAAAGGAACTCTCTGGGCACTACGGGAAGAGGCACGTCCCTTACTTTTCCCCTTGCTACTGGTTGGTGCTTTCTGGGATGGGGCTTTACCCCTCGCCATGCCCATCAAAGCATCAGTCAGGGCAAGAACAGCAAAATCTGCAGCAGATGAGGTAGCAGTCCCAGATAGAGCGGTCCCACCCTGGGATGTTGCATCATCATCAGAACTAGAAGCTGCAGCAGCAAACAGGGCAACCTTCCTCCTTCTACGCCCCTTTGAGGAGGGTCTCTTCCTTGCTTCAGAAGGTGTTTCCTGGACATGGAGTTTGGACTCCAAGTCCCGGGCTGCTCTGCCGAAGGACCGCCAATCCTTGTGGCCCCGAGAGAAGAGAGCAAGCTCGTATTGCTCAGGCGTTGCTCTCAAGAAATGAACGAGCAGATCCTGCTCACTCATCTCTAACCCAGGAGTCGAGGTGAGACTCTCAAAGGTTGAATAGAGTTTGGACAAGGAGCCGCCAAATTTCTTTTGGCCCAGGCGCAGGATTTTATCACCTGCTTTCCAGGCCTGCTCCTTGTCTGCAAACCTATCCTACAAAGTCTGCAGAAAACCAGCCGCCCCCAGCCTCTGCACCCAGTCATCCATCTCCATCCCCTGCTTGTTGGAGGTGGAGGTGCACCACTTCAGTGCAGTCCTCTCCATGCGAGTCAGGATGACACTCACCTTCACATCCTCGTCACATTTGAAACCACTCAGGTAGGTTCGTTGTGCAGTGACCCAATCTGCAACATCCACCTTTGAGTCCTCGCCAGAGAACACGGGTGGAGGGGTCAGCTTGGGCCGCTGCATATCAAATGGACCTGAGGGCTGAGAAGGTGTCATTGACTTGGGTGTAGAGAGAGGGGATGTAGGCCTGGATTGTGAGAGTTGCAGAGGGCCCGCTTGAGAGGGCCCAGGAGATGGAGCAATCAAAGTGGTTGGAATCTGAAGATGAGTAAAAATCTGATCCAGTTTGGAAGAAATGTCATCCAACTTTTTGGAAAAAGTTGAGTGACTGTTCTCCAAACTGGTAATCCTCTCATCCAGTTAGTAAAATAGGACCAGTTGATATCATTCTGCAAGAGGATGAATTCTGCCATGTCCTTATTGTACTGCCTGGAAGAACCACTCACCCTGATCTTCTCAATGTCTGCAATGAGAAGTTTTCTTCCGATTTCCTTTTGAGCTGCTGCTTCTTTTCTTTTCAGCTTTGCCTTCAGACTCTCAACTGTCTATGCCTGTTTCCGGAGTTTCTCCTCCTCGACACACATTTCAGCCTCTAAAGGGTCTAGAGGAAGTTGAGGCTTCACATCAATAGCCTCTCCCTTTCCTGTGTCAAAAAAATTGATTTACCCACAATTCGGATAAATAAAATAAACAGTAAACAAAAAACAGAAATGGAAGTAACAGGAATTGGGTTTTCTTTGCAGTACTCGCCCAATTGCTGTCACCTGACTAGAGAGAGAAAGTGGTTAGTCTGAGCAACTGAGTGCTCAGTCTCTGCAGACCGCTTGAGGGTCAGGCTTAGATTATAGTATTCTCAACAAAAATCAATTTCACGATTTTCCATTCCCTGCCCTGACACTTCAACTGCATGCAATTACTGCAAATCCAGTATCCATTACTTTCAGTATGCAGTCCTGGATTAGTAATTAGACAGAGTGTCTAATTAGGGATAGACAGACATCCACTGATGACCAAGATGCAGCGATTTACAAGGCAGCAATTTACAAGGTGTCCTATTTTTAGACTTCCCCTGCGGACTTCCCCATTGTATGACCTTGTATGCCATACCTTGGGTATGGCGAATTACAGCATTTACTGTAGCAAACTCAAAACATCAAATCTCACTGTGCGATTTCAAATACAGACTGTATACTGAATTGCGATTTACTAGGGACTAACAAAATTGAATTCTGACGAACAGCATTGAAGTTATGACTGACCCTAGTCCAGCCAAGCTTTAGCTATGCCAACGCAAAATCCAAATGTTCATTATCACTGACAACAGGGCCCCTGAACAACTCGATTCATAGTACAGGATGAATCGCAACATTGTGAAGCAGTCACATATGAAATTTGAGTCAGAGAGGAGGTCAAACAGGGTTAGTAGAAGTCAAAGAAGATTGGTAGGAGAAATTGGATATGGTTGTCCCACAGTATGAATTTTGATTTTCAATTGTCAACTGACTAACAGTCCCAATTTCGCTAGACTAAAAATAGCCCGTGAATCGCCACACAGAGTAAAGTTAAGGAACACACTTACTTCAAGGATATCTCTGAAGAAGATGAGTGCAACCCTGGCTACGGCTGTCTGGTCAACCTCATCTCGTCAGTTTCATCTCCTGATGATTCCCAATTTTTCCACGTACCAAACCTCCTGAAACTTGGTGATCCAGTAGATTACCCTAATGCGCTTCACCCTCCACTAACAGATACACTGAATCTGGACTCCCAGATGCTAACAACTGAAAACTCGATGCAGCGCCACTTTACCTTGTACTGCGCTGCTTGGAAATTGGGGACCCTGACCCAATTCCAAAATCGCAACACCCTGGGATCACTTCCTTGCCAATCGCCAGCATCCAGATGAGTCACCAGGCTAAAAATAGCCTCCTCAGAGCCTCCCAGGCCTCTGAGCATCAATCGCCACCCACTCCTGCACAACCCTAAGCAAGTAGATGTCACCCTCTGTCCAATTCTTCTCGCCACACACTCACCACCACCACCCTCACTGTCGCCAACCCTGAAGTGTCTCGTCAAATAGTGGTAGCTGCTCCAACTCATCAATCGCTTCACTGTCTGGATCCAATCGCTCCGATCCCAACTGTTATGATCCTGGTTGCGTGTTGTCAGATGACCAACGCTCGCACTCATAGACTCCCAGGTATGACCATACATACACAAAAGGAAGGGGAGAGGATGGAGTATCACACCGCACAGGGAGAGATAAACACAGTGGAAGACTTAACCATGCGATATGACAGAAAGCACTGACCGTGCAATTCACTCCACAAAATCCTCACAACCAGTCACAAAGGAAAGCCGAGTAGATCACATCCAGGAAACAACGAAGCAAAGATAGTCTGCACACAGTTTACACACTGTTTATTAAACTCAGAGTCTCGAATTGTCAGGAAAATCCCGGAACTATGGTGCGCTGCTCATAATTGAGCAGCGCTTCACTCCCCAACCCCGAGTAACCACTATCTCTACCCCTGAGTCCTTGAAACATCAAGCGCCACCCAGATACTGCCTCCAGAGGGAAGCGCCACCCTGAAACAGGCCTTTGAGACCAAGCACCACTCAAAGGATGAAGAAGAAGACCAGCGCCACAATGTCTAATGATGATGAAGTGCCGGATGACTTCCCGGGTGGAAGTCTGCAGCAGCGCCACCTCTCCTGACAAGATGATCTCTGAGGAAGAAGCTGCAGCTATGGCTGCAGCGCCACACACCCTGACACCCTACTCCTGAGGAGGGTTCAGCAGGGCTCCAACTTCTCTCGCCTCCAGCAGACTTCGAGTATCCCACACCTCTGGACAGCCCCACGTGCTGTCAGAGTACAGTGTCAGTCCCAGCTATGGCCACCACTCCGCAGGTCTGGCTATGTCCATCTTCCCCAACGCTGAAGCTGTCACCACACGCAGTTCACGCGTTGCACAACAGCGACATACACTGGACCAACTGCCAAAAGCCCCGAACAGTGTTCCCTAAACCTATTCATAGTCTACCCTAGCCTAGACACGAGCTAGACCGGACTGATAGGACTGACCGGTACCGTTTTTCGTTTCGGCCTCTCGGCCTCTCCCTACCCGGCTATAGGCTATAGGACCGTCTATTGGCATAGGCCCTTAGGGCCTGTCCATCCAAGGGGTAGCCCGGGCCTGCTATACACAGTTAGGGTAGCTGTACGGAATTCGGTTAGTGCGGGCCTATAATTTTTCCAAATTTGCAGATATATCCCTCACGAATTTCCTCACAGTCAGCTGTCGCGGTTAGCCCTCAGCCAAACAAAATTACGAATCTAACCTAAGGCGCAACCCGACCGAGGCAAGCCCTGAGCTTCGCCCTCGGCCCAATGTGCAGTCCACTGAGAATCTGCAGGCTTCATTACATAGGCCTGGATGTCCGGTTAGGACCCACGCTGGCCATTTCAAGCATAGGCCATAGACCAGGTCTTGGGCCCGTATCAAGACCCTCTATCCAGACTGGTAGAACGTCTGGTAGGCCCAGCGCTATGCTCTGGGCAGGGCTGGACCAGAGGCATGCAAAGGTGAAGCATTCAGTTCAACAACCAGGCTGCTTGAGAGCAGTGCTAGAGCTTATCGCAGTAGAGTTAGTGCTAGCACTTGCAGAGCTGAGAGCTAAAGGACAAGAGATTGCTGAGAGTGGAGCTCTACAGTAGCCTTGGAAGAGGAGCACTCACCTGGATGTCGTAGCTTGGAGACTATTCACCGCCTACAGCCAAACTTTACTTTGTGATCTGCCATGGTTCAAGCTAGCTCTTTCACCAATCAGTACCTGCGTTTTGAGAGAGAGAGAGAGGAAGAGAGAGAGAGAGAGAGAGAGAGAGAGAGAGAGAGAGAGAGAGAGAGAGAGAGATGGACGGACAAGGCAAAGAGAGGACTTCTTCTTCTTCTCCCGTCCTCAATATCATCTTCCTCCTTCCTGACCTCCGAGAGAGAGATCAAAGACATGCCGAGGATTTCAGGGAGACCCCTCCCAGCTTCAGACTCATCACTGTATTGGACACAATTGACAGTTGAGAGAGATGGGCTACTATCATTTTGGCTATTGCATCCAGACTCTCCCTCTTCTTCTTCTTCTTCTTCTTCTTCTTCATCCATGTATTCGACCCTTCTTGCCTCTCCAAGTGACGATTACGAGTGCATTATCCGGGCTTCGAGCTGTGTGAGTGAGACTAATTGTCTTCAGAGAAGTTCGGACTTCCGCTCAGGGTTGCATACCTGCTGACCGCCTACCCCGACCGCCGACCGTTTTGCAGCCTACCAGTAAGGTCCGCCGATCAGTGGCCTGCCAACCAGTCAGTAAACAGTCATCCACTTATTTTTATTTTTAATCTGACTACGGGGCTGTACTGCGCTTGCTGCATACCGCCCCAATCCGCTTAGAAACCTTGCAGCATGTCTTCGAGACATGGAACATAGTGAAGCTGGTCTCTATCTGGAGCAGGATCTTACCATTTTGCTGCAGATTTAGAACCCTTCTAGGTCTGTTGAGGCCTCAATGACAGTACATATTATTAGTAGATTACACTATGCCTTCAAGATTTCGATTCAGATTTGGAGTCATTGGGCGCTGATACTGCACCATGTCTGCCAAACTCATCACTTTACATTATCAGACTCAATGCCCTTCTCAGCAGTTTCGCAAGTGGTGGTGTTCCCACAGGGGTTTACTGAGCTGAACGAGTGTGCGGCAGCAAGATCAATCAATCTGACCACAACGCACCGTAATCAGACCCTAAATCTGAGAAAGTTGGAATTGGTAGAACGTATCAGCGGGAGTCTGAAAGCCGGGCAGAAGTACTAAAGAACAACTCACACGGGAAGGGGATGACTCAGCGGCCCTCATCCGGGAGTCCAAGCCAGCGAGGATTTATCAGTTCTCTCACAAGAAAAACTGGCTCAAGGTTCTCTGCAGCATTTACTTCCTTCACTCTCAAGTCTCAACTATGAAAAGCAAAAGCCTCTCACAGACCCTGAATGACAAATACTAGATGTTTGTCAACTATACAAAGCACGAGTGGTAGAGGACGACAACCACTGACAGTTTTTTTTTCGATCGCAATCTGCCATACAAGAGTTAGGTTAATAGGTGGTGTCCTTTTCGGTGAAATTTTCACCAAAACTGCCATATTTCCCTGATTTTTTTTTTAATTATTATTATTATTATTATTATTATTATTTTTGTGTGTGTGTGATATGTACGTGCCTTAGGGTAGATTTGTATTCAGTTTCGACCTATTTGGACCAGTAACTAAAAAGTCGGCAAAACACACCGAATTCGGAGAAAAAATTGGCGAACTCCGAAAAAACTGGCTAACTCGGAAAAAATTGACGAACTCCAAATAGGGTTTTATAGTGATCACAAGGCAAGATTTTTGGGCATCAAGCGAACATACTACATAGGGCAAAAATATTTTGGTTGTGCATCATCCACACATCCGGCGAATAGCGTGCGCCTCTCTTTCCTTCCTTTCCAAACACCCACTGCGTTGTGCATCATGCCAACATAGGGCAACAACACTATTTGGAGTAGCCTTTGGTCGGACATAGGGCATCAAGGGAACATAGAGCAAAATCTTGATGCCCAAAAATCTTGCCTTTGGTTGTGCATCATGCACACATCCGTCGAACACAGGGCACAACAACACTATTGAGAGCATGATTTTGTCCTTAAGAGTGGCTGCTATTGAAAGCAACGAGGGTTGGGTTGTGGGGCAAGCAAGTGTTTTCTTCTTTTGAAGGACAGGAGCTAGAGACCAGAAACAAGCTGACAAAGTCATGTACCGAGAACCACTTACACAGTGGTTTGCAGGGGACGGACAGTACAAGGTAGGAACTGACCATGCTGACAGAAACAAAGGCAGACAATCATAGCACGGTGGTGCTCCCTCCCTCCCTGTTTACCTTTTTGTTTGCGCTCTGATGATGTCCACAATATCCTGACTTGTGACACTGCAAAATTACGACAGGGCAATATGTCAGTCCTCAGTAACTTGACAATCCTATTGCAGACAAGATTGTGCTCTTTCTGAACCAATAAAAATCCCTCCCTACCCCGCCAGCCCCCCTCCAGACACACACACACACACACACACACACACACTCCACACACACACACACACACACACACTCCACACACACACACACACACCCTCCACACACACCCTCCACACACACACACACACACACACACACACCCTCCACACACAGACACACACACACACACACACACACACACACATGAAAC